CTTCCATCTAAGCCCAGAAGAACAGATACCTGAGACAAAAGCAACGTGTGCCAGTGAAATGGCTGCTTAGACACCCAGCCGCGTCCCAGGTGACACAGATAGAAAAATTAGTGTATTAAGCACGGACTCACTCACTAAATCCTATTTGAGTTAAAGTACATGAATGTATGTAGAAACAAGGGGAGCCGTGTAGAAAATAGTCCTCAAAGCATGGTTTTAATTAGTTGAGTATGGAGACTAATTAATATGCAAATGAGGAGCTTACCAATATTAATCATCTGTTTTACTAGGCTGCTTTTTACTAAAGAGTTTCTAACGAGTTTGCAAATTAAGTTTCTTTGACATTAAAAATCAGCTAAATGCTTGTCTGAGAATAATCTCTTCGAACTCAAGGGTAGGAAGGGGGAATTTTTTTTTTTTGGATGAAAAACAGCAGTGTTGAAAAACCAATTCCCATGTTGGCAAGCATGGTGTGAGAGTTCTGTATCAACCCTTTCCAGGCTCTAATTGAAACCATTTCGGCAAGAGAGACACCAGAAAACAGTTGGAATGGGGACAAATAGGAGCTGCAGGGATTTAAAGACACATGAACTGGAAAGTTGCATCACAAAATTCACGTGGAAGGTTGGTAGCCACCATGTCAAGACTCCAAAGAGGTTACAGGTGTGCCTTGAATGCCCCTGTATGGCCTCTAACACACCTTCAACCTTCTGTTTTCTTGAAGGTGCTGGAGACAGTTGGATCTTGATCTGCCAGGAGAGACTTTAGGAGTAGGAAGGACTAGCAAGGCTGTCCAGTGGCCACTTTCTCTTCAGGATCCGTTTTCATTCTGTCTGGAAAAGTGCGCAGGCTGGGGTTCAATTCTGCCAATCATGTTTTTCAGTCAACTCCATCATACTCCAGTCGGCCATTGGTACAAAACAACACAAAGAAACGCACTGTTTTGAGTGCCTGCATCCTACAGGAAGACAAGGGACCTTCAACTAGAAGAGACAAGAGCTTGGTCTTCTCAGAACTTCGGTTCTAGCAACTGAAACACAAAGTTGTTCTTTTTTTGTCTTCTCCAACACAACACAGTATTATAGTCTTTGCTTACTTTTGGGTATTTTGGTTTGTTTGTTTGTGCAGGATCTAATTATGTTGCCCTAGCTGGCCTGGAATTGTAACTCAGGCTGGCTTCAAACTCACAGAGATCTGCCTGCCTCGGCCTCCTGCGTACTGGGATCAAAGTGCCTGGTGCCTTTAGAAGCCAGAAGAGGGTGTCGGATCCTCTGGGATTGGAGTTACAGACTGTTGTGAGGTGTCATGTGGGTGCCGGGAATTGAATGCAGGTCTTCTGGAAGAGAAGCCAGGGCTTTTATCTGTCCAGCCGTCTCTCCAGCCCCACACAGTTGTTCTTACAGTGTCCCCACCCCTGAAGGCTCAAGGGGATGTGGGAAGGACACCTTTCCAGTCAGCTCCCTCTCTCACACTCGCAACTCTTCCCGCCTCCATCTTCTGTGGACGTCAGCTGAGAGTTGACACAGGTCTACCCCGATACGTCACTGGTCTGCCCCGATACGTCACTGATGTTCTCTCGCTTGGTCATTCATTTAATAAGTGTTTATTGAGGGACCGGCAATACTGCTCAGTAGCTAACGCACTTTGTTTTGCAAACTTGAGGAACTGAATTCTATTACAGAACCCATGGAAAGGAGAGAACTGACACCCAAAATTTTTCTCCTCCGAGCTCCATACCTTTACCTTGGCAAATTCACTCAAGCACATGCCCACACACACACACACACACCACAAAATGAAAATAAATAAAAAATAAAACAGGCCCAAGGAGCCCACTCTGAGAGTAAAATGGGTAAGAATTAAGAGAGCTGCATATCTTCTGAGCTCACCGAAAACAACCTTGAGCCATCTTGTAGAAACATTCTGGTCCATTCCTGACACAGGAAAGATACTCTCAGAATGAGATACCCTAGCGAGGGGCACAGGCTTGCTGATATTTTGCTTCTTGTTACTAGTTTTTACAAGTCTAAAGCGGCAAATGACTGGAGAAAATCCCCATTTTTCCTTGCAGGGAGAGGCCTGCCTTTATCTGCAGGAGATTTTCGATTGCTCCCTGTCAGCCACTGTGAACCAATGGCATTCACCGAGCCATGTCCACTCCAGCGCCCTGCACCTATCTTCAGGTCTCGGACACAGAACTGGCTTGTCTAAAGCCTTACTTCTTTTAGTCAGTGCTGGTTACTAAAATGTCACGGCTGGTAGGAGACGCTGTTGAAGTCCAGAGTCATTGAAATTCATGACAAAAAGAAAAGCAAGCCCTGAATCAGAAGCACAGGCTGGATTTTGCAAAGAAACGTCGGCCAGAAAATTAATCCAAACTGTGCTTCACTTTGGGCTTCTGTACAAGCATGTCTTGGCGGCGGGTCTGGATGGAGGTTCTGGGAGCCGCAGGAGTGGAAAATGGAAATGGTTCATCTGCACCTGCCCTTTCTCCAGAGACTTTGGCTCTTCTGCGGTGACACACAGGACCTGTTCACACTCCGACAAAGAAGGCTCCAGGCCACCCCCTCCATGCCAGGCCCCAGTAGACTAGCCCCACAGTCATTGTCAGTGAAACCTTACATATTGCTTTATAAACCACTAGCTAGGATGTACTTCTGTGACATGTGTGGGTTCCAGTCTTCTGTACAAGAACAGCTCTGTCCAATAGCATGTTCCGCTGGAGACAAAAATACCCTGAAAAATCTTAATGTTGTAGCTACTAGCCATATGTATCTATGAAGTACTTAAAATGGGCTCCTCGGTTGTTTTTTGTTTTTTTGTTTTTTAAATTTAACTTTAATTCAGTTTAACTTAAACTGTCACATGTAACTGCTACCTACCATCATAGAAACTACTCCATCCATTTGGATTTCTGTGAACAGAAAAGCATCCATGATCTCCATATGAGAATAACTCAGAAACATGAACTAATTTTCCTAATTTTGACATAGGTGGAATGAATCTATGTCTGAAACTTTTTATTCCCAGGATTAGGTGGTGTACCAGGCCATGTGTCTTCAACATCCCAGTATCAACACGAAAGTGAGATAGTTGGAAACTCTAGCTCTTTTAGCAGGTGCCTTGAACATCAGCAGGTAATCACAGTCACATCTCTCCCTGTCCTCAACCAGTGTTTTGACTTTAGGCAAAGAAGAACGACACATCCAGGCCAGGAAATAGAGGAAACATTCAGGGATCCTGCTACCAATAGAGCAAGGCTGGCAAGTCAGTGATCTTGACTTAATATGTAAGTTGCCAATTCCTCACTCTTACTTTTTCCCCATTTACATTTTTGTGTCCTGTTCCTAGCCATATACAAGCAAGGCCAAACTTTTATTTCACTAGTTTTTAATCTTTTTCTTAAAGATTTTTTTTAAAGATTTTTATTTATTATGTAGACAGTGTTCTGCTTGCATGCCAGAAGAAGGCACCAGTTCTCATTACAGATGATTGTGAGCCACCATGTGGTTGCTGGGAATTGAACTCGGGACCTCTGGAAGAACAACCAGTGCTCTTAACTGCTGAGCCAACTCTCCAGCCCTAGTTTTTAATCTTAAATGCAACACAAAAGACTCTCAAGATTCAAAATTACAGAGTTGGGCAAGGTGGCACACACCTGTAATCCTGGCACTTAGGAAGTAGAAGCAAGAGGATCAGGAGTTGTGGGGCATCATCAGCTACATGTGGAGTTCTAAACCAGCCTTGGTATGGGAGATCCTGCCTCAGTATAATCCCAGCCCTCTAAGGTACTGGCAGGAAGATCAGAAGTTCAAGGTTCAAGGTCATCCTAGACTGTGTATCTAGTTCCTGCCAGCTGGGGCTACCTAATATGAATGACTTCTAGGTAATTTTAGATCCTGTTCTGCATTGGATTAAATTTGCCATTTTTGAAAATTATGAGTTCAAGTGTTATAAACAACATGTTCTAATGAGGAAGACAATCTGTTCTTGAGTCCATGGTTATTTATATACATGAGGAGGCACAACTAAGATAACAATGGTTATTTACACACATATATGTGTAATATGTGCATGTAAAAAAATGAAACAAAACAAATGCAGAGCCACAAATCATCCAGAGACTTAATTTCAGGACCCGTGCTGTCTCAAAACTTAGCACAAAGACCCTGTCTGGAAGGAAGTGTCCCCAGTGTCCTCGGCAGAGGTTCCAGGGGCTCTGATTCTGAAGGCTAGAGAGTGGGCTGTCCTGAGGTCCCCGATTCTGTGGCCTCTACCCCCCAGATTGGCCTGTACCCCACAGCACAGATGCACCCAGCATGATGGAGTATCGTTGCTTTGAAACCAGCCTTAGGTTGGTGCCTCCTCCACTAATACGACAGATTTAGAAAAGACAGAGAAATGGGATGGTTTAGGGAGCCGGGCAGGTCAGTCAGAGTCTGGTGGTGAGCAGCGAGGACCGCTCCTCTGGGTGAGTTGATGCAACTCCAGAAGAAATTGACCTGCTTGTTTATACAGCTTGTCTTCCTTCACGGGGTTCTGATTTGAACCAAATGAGATCCTGGGAGAGTTACACTCCCCGCACACTGTAGGATGAGCAGAGAAGCTGTCGGAGTACTTGAATTCTGATCCCAGGCTTCCCTTAATGGCTCAGCATTTCTATTCTCTCATCTGCTGTCTGTACCTCTGAATGTCCGCGAAGGTCACAGGACACACCTCTGTGAACACAGCCCTTCGCTACAGTTCTGTCAGGCATAGAGATTTCCAGTCACTGCATTAGCTGGGTTTCATTGACCTCTCTGGTCTCTTGGTCACCAGTTGCATACAGACAACAAAGTGGATGTCTGGGCTTAGTGGCATGATGTCTGAAGGTGAAATTGAGTACAACAAGGGGACCCATAAAAGACCTCAAGTCCATGCCCTTGACTTCATTAAACAGGGCAGTTCACCTACTACTGATCTACCTTCAGTCAATGCAGGCTTCTGACCTTTTGCCCACTTAGTCCTGGGGTCAGCATCTGAAGGCTCAGCCAAAGGGAAGGGCAGGGGGCCCCGGGTCAGCCTCACTGCAGATTATCTCTAGAAGATCCAATATTCAAGAGTTATGGAAAGTCCCAATCTTGTCATTTTACTTCAAACAAAGTCTCCCAGACAACAAGCACTCCATACCAACAAGAACGTCAGGGTTAGTTAGAGTCAAACTGTTCACCATCATCCCCAGAGGTAGCAAAGCAATGTGGCAAGGCCTCTTGATTCCCTGGAAACTTAAATCATATGAAAACAAGGAGAGAAGTAGAGGTGAGATGGGTTAAAATGTCTGCTCCTTAATGTACTCGAGATAATGGACCCAAGGTGTTCTTTGAGAAGTTAGTGTTTATCGAGCGTTCTCTCTGCAGTGGACAAGCAGTCAACCCTGATGGTTATTGTTAAAATTCTCTTTTGGGCACTGTTCTTTCCTGTGAATTCTGAGTGGGGGATGGAAGATTCTGCCGTTTTAATTCCTTTGTTAATGTCTTTATAAATGCAATTAACACTTCATTCACGATTCTTTGTTTCTGGATCCCATTAGGATGTGGTTTATGCCAGTTTCTCTCTCCCAGGAGACGCCCCTGCATCACACAACACTTCACTCAGCTGTGTGGCTGAGTACTGACAAACTCAATTTTCAGAAGGTGAGTGAGAGTTGACACCATGCTGTGGCGGTGGTCCTGAAGGGAGCACATGACTCATTTCATTCCTAGGTGGAACCCACTTTCTCGGAGAAGCATGCTTGTGCATGAGCGTGGAGTGAGCAGGGGGGAAAAAATGGCTCCTGGCAGACCCGGTGTCAAGAACTGAAGTCAAAGAAACGCTCAGAGCTGAATGTGGTCCAGGGTTTTAGAAAGAAAAGCCTCTGGACAGGCTGAGGCAGGAGGCTTGCTTGTTTGAGGCCGGTCTTGATTCCATAGAGAGATACCTGGTCTCAACAAAACAAACCAGGGGGTGGGGAGATGGCTCAGTCTACAAAGTGCTTGTAGCCCAAGCATGAGGACCTGAGTTCAGATCTCCAACAGGCACACAAGAAGCTGGCTACGGTGGTCAGTCCCTGTCATCCCAGTGCTGGAGAAGCAGCAACAGGAGGACCTGTGGAGCTTGACAGCCAGTCAGTCTAGAAGAATCAGGGAGCTCCGGTTTAGTGAGACACCCTGTCTCAAAAAATAAGGTAGAGTAATTGAGGAAGGCAGTGTCATTCTGTGGACCTCTGTCATGCACACACACACACACACACACACACACACACACACACACACACACAGATGCAAAATACATAAATAAATGAATACAAACAAAAACTCTGAAAGCCAGGTATACGTTGCCTTATAGGTTGCACAGGCTGCTCTATCCTTCAGCAAACTTATAGGAAGTGGCATCTCAATACAAAGTAAAGGGAGATTCCACAAATAAGGGACGTGGTCTCCATCCCCCGGAGCTCACAATTTAGCCTAACAATCATGTAAGGGACAGCTGCTTGGAGTGAGAAGCATAGACAGAACTTTGGGAGTGCAGCTCTCTGGGACAGGGGTCGGAGGACAGATGCACTGGAAAGACAGGACTCCAACACAACACTTTCCAGGCCATTCCACTGTGGAGAGCTGCAACAAGTGGGGGCAGTAGGAGGAAGTGCAGAGAGGCCAGCGCCAACCAAGATGCAGAGGTAAGAAATGAATAGAAGGTTCATGACCATGACAAATTATTTTCCTTTTATATTAAAGTCTATCCTTCAATTGATGGGATCATTCCCATTTCAAATATCAGTGTGATATTTGCTTAACCGCCAAAGGCGCTGCAGATGAATCTATCTGAATCTTTCTAAGATACCATGCAGGAGGAGAGGCAGGAGGTCTGGAGGAATCCGAGACAGGAAGGAAGCGGGAAGGATTGCCCATGTGTGGCATTATGTCTGTCCTTTAAATGGACAGATGTTACTTATTTGTGGGCCCATTTCTGGACTGGAGCTTTATTTTTTCCTGGTTTTCTCCAGGAAGTTGAAAAAAGAGCAGGATTTTGGCTAGACGTTACAAAGCATGAGCAGTTGGAAGGAAAAGGGGAAAGCAGGCGGTGGCCGCCACCGTCTGTGCCTGCTGCTAAGGGCGCAGGACTAAGTCAAGGACACCACGTCCAATGTGGTTTTGACTTCGTTTAATAGCAGGATGGTTGCTTTCCTGTCTCAGAGCTACTTCAAATACCTAACCTTGGTTCCATTTAGTTCTTTGCCCCTGGTACCAAGGCCTTTCTCAGGTCCCTGTCAATCAGACCTGGACTGTGAGCCAAACCACATAACATGGCCCTTGTGTGTCTCTGCAAATTGGGGAGCTCCTAGGTCTTAAAGCCTTGCAGACCACAGCCAAGCCCATCTGCATTAAGACAGATCATTCTGAGTCAGGAGTAGTGGTGCGCATGTGAAGTCCCAGCATGGAGTTAGAGGACGGGGAGTCAGGAGTTCGAGGTCAAACTCACCAACAAAGCAGTCTGGGGCCAGCCTGGGCTACAGGAGACCATGTTCTCAGACAAGAATAAAGGTCCTTTTGATTATAGCTTATCATACGGCTTCCTGAATTATAACCAATTCTTGGCCAAAGAGCATCTAACTTCAACATGACTTTTGATCCCAATCAAAGATTAAAGTGTTGGTAATGTCCTGCATAGTTGTTTCTTTTCATGAAGCAATAGTTGTCAGGTGTCACTGCACTCTACTGGAAGACTAGCAACTCCTTAGAATGAGTACGTTAATTCCCAAACATGGAAAGGGTAAGACAGAGAGGGGACTGTCTCTGTGCCTGGATGGTGGGACTCTGTGGTTAAAACAAAACAAAACAAAAAAACCTCTCTCTCTCTCTCTCTCTCTCTCTCTCTCTCTCTCTCTCTCTCTCTCTCTCTCTCTCTGTGTGTGTGTGTGTGTGTGTGTGTGTTAAACAGAAGAAGCTTCTCTGAGTCCCCTGGCCTCAAGTCACTGGGCAGCTGTGTAAAACCACACCCAGGACCTGTGTTCTGCCGCTTCTGAGAAAGATGTAAATGTGTAAATATGATGGAAGAGGTTTTATTTTCTTTCCCCTCTCAGGAATGGTCTGACAGCCCCAGGCTGGAGAATGTGTCTCTCCCAAGTACTCTGTCACCCTGGTAACCATGGAGACCGCGACGATCGATTAGATGCCATCTGATCTCAACCTCATAAAAAAAGGCAGCAGATGGCAACCAGGCCACTAGACCTGTCTCAAGAGAGACGAAGAGGAAGAGAAAAGGGAAGGAAGGAGAGAAAAGGGAGAGTTGGGGGGGGGGGGCTCACACAGGGAGAAGGACACGGAAGCAGACAGACATGGGAGAAGAGTGGAGATACACACAGAAAGCAAGGAGAGCCGAGCCTGGGACAGAGGAGACACAAGCCGGGAAATGAAATTAAAACCCAACTGTGCAACAGGGCTCTGGGGAGAGCAGCAGAGGGAAAATCCTCTAAGGGGGAAACATCAGCCATCACCTGACTTTCCGCTACTATGTCGGTCTGAGTAGTGACAAAGAACAGCACAGATCCTGGGCCTCCAGGCTTCTCTGAGGGACCCTCGCAAGCTTGACCTTGTGCCTCTCAGTGACAGCTGGAACCTAGTGTGTCCATCGACTTCACAGGCCTGGCTCTCAGAAGGAGAGCCGCTGCTCAGCCCAGCTGAGACCTTTCAGACAAATGGGTGTGCCGAGGCTGGGTGTGTTCTGTCACGCCAGTCCAGCAGTGTTACAGTCAACCCTTCAAGGGAGCCGTGACAGCCAGTTCGTCAGAAACCCAAGGCGAAGGGACGAGAACCATTAATTAAGTCAGTGTCGGTAACCTGCATCCTGAAGTAATGTGATGGTTAAAGTTAATGAAGGCTTTGCCATTTTTTAATGTATCATAACTTATTTAGTGGCCTCCTCATGTCTTCAGATGCAGATTATTATTCACAACACAAGCGATGATCTTATGATCATCATAAATGCCTTTGTAGTCTTCTCAATTTTTCCTTGGGGTGAAAGCGCTGTTATTAAGTCAAAAGAGTTTTGTTTTCCTTGAAATTTTTTAGTTAAGATATAACATATATAATAAAGTGAATAAATCTTGAAACAGCTGAAATAGTTACACACACACACACACACACACACACACACACACACACACACACACACACTTGCAGACATCCAGACACACAACTACATAACTACCACCCAGGTCAATGCAGCAAACATGTAGTACCCTAGGATATTTATGCCCCTTCCAGTCAGTCTACCCTATGTTCTTGAACTTGGTATAAATGGAATCAGAGTGTGCTTTTGTTTCTGATTTTTCTTCCCTCGATATAAAGTTTGTTAGATTAGTTTTGCTGTATTGTCCAACAGTAGCTTATCCTTTTCATTTGGCTTTTAAAATCTTTGAATGTTTAAATTTTTATTACTATTTTATTTCTGTGAGTGTTTTACCTGCACATCTGTCTATACACCGTATACATGCCCACAGAGGGCACTAGGTCCCCTAGGACTGGAGTTGTGAGTCTCCACGTGGGTGCTGCGTATGGAACCCAGGTCCTCTGGAAGAGCAGCCAGTGCTTTTAAACTGTTGAGCATCTCTCCAGCCCCTTGTCCTATTTTTTTGTTTTTATTTCTTTTCTTTTCTTTTTTTTTTTTTTGTTTGTTTTGTTTTTTTGAGACAGGGTTTCTCTGTGTAGTTTTGGTGCCTGCCCTGGAACTCGCTCTGTAGACAAGGCTGGCCTTGAACTCACGGAGATCTACGTGGCTCTGCCTTGTGAGTGCTGGGATTAAAGGCGTGAGCCACCGCCACCTAGCCCCTTGTCCTATTTTTAACACAGATTATTGGTTCATTTTATTTTGGGAGACATTCAGATTGTTATGAATAAGCTTGTTGTGAATATTCTTGAATGTCTTCCGGAGGAGTGGGTTTGTTTGTTTGTTTGTCCACTAGGTAGCTCTGGCCGGCCCGGAATTTACCACATAGACCAGGCTGCTCTCGAATTTACACAGATCAGCCTTCTGGATGTTGGACTCACTATAACCTCTTTACTAACGAAGCATAGTTCCTAACTGCATTCTAAATATTGACCCTCTGACTCACAGGTCAGTGCAGCTCTCCTCATCAAAGAAACTTCTCTTTGCAAGAGATGGAGACCATTACAGAAAGACACAACCAATCCAAATGCAGAGAAGCAGACGACATGGGGTGCCCAGCCCCTCGAACACATCTACAGCTCAGCTCCTGCACCCAAGGCTCAGGAAGCACCTCGGGCAGGCAAGATTGTAAGAGCCAGAGGGCCCTGAAGTCTGCTGTGGGACAGCGGCCCCTAGAAACGCCGGGAAGCTCCACCTTGGAAGTCTCATCACTGCGGCTACCTAAACAAGACCGGAGAACAAGGAGGACTAACAGACAGGCTGACATGGAGGCGGGGCATCTCAAGGGGCTTCAACCCTAGACAAAGAACTACAGGCAGCTAAGGGATGCTGAGATTAGGAGAAGTAATTTTCCTTGGGAAAGAGCCTCGGCCCTAGTTGGTTATTCAATACCAAGTGATCAGCCCTAAAATAACACACAGGAAGGTGAGATTACATGGACTGAACAGGTTGTGTTTTTATCTATCAATCACTAAAGAAAAAAAGCCAGGAATCTGAGAGAAAGGCGGAGTCCTACATGGGAGGGATGGATGGGAGGAAAGCGAAGAGGGAAATGATGTGATTTTAATTAAGAAAATCATTATTAATTTTTTAAATAAAAGTGTACATCACCGTGCCTGGACGGGTTTTTCCTTTTCTTATGTAAGCTGGGAGCGTAACTACTCGTCACCACGCGGGCCTGTTTAGCTTTTAATGCAGGGTAAATGCAAATCTCCTCTTACCTTGGCCTTCAAAACAGTGTGCCCATTTGAACTCCAACTACCTACTGCTTTGAGGGTGCCCTTCCCTTCCTCTCCTGCCAACAGCAAGTGGGCCTTCCAATTCTTCTCGGCCGTCTGCAAGACGAGGCGGCCCCCGCGGGTTTACACTGGTTTGAAGGGCAAGTGCATTGAACTAGTCTTGCCTTGCCACCAAACCCTCTTACTTATTTTGTAAACTGCACATATGTGTCATCATTGTTATGTTTAGGACTGGCTTTAGGATAAGCAGGAAGATGAAATAGCTTTAGGATAAGGAGGAAGATAAAAACACAATCCAAATAATCCATTCAAATTCCCTGGCGTTGTGAGGAGGAAAGACGCATTGGCGTTTATGACCAGAGCAGATTTACATTGTGTTAGCTGGTGTCCCGTGTCATCTATTTCTGGAGGAAATAACATTCATGAATACATATTACGATCATGGCACCTCCTTAAACAGCCCTCCACAGTTGTTGTAGCTCCATTTCAATTTCACACAGCTTTAAACAACCATCTACTGTTCCGTCTATTTTTGCAGACTTAGAAGCTGTGGATCGTGAACACAAAACTAGTCCAGTACCATGGCTGGGATTTAGAGCTGGCCAAAGTAAAGGTTTTCTCTGTTTTTCCTACAGCCATGCTAGGGTTTTAATACCCTTTCTGTTCACAGTTTGCACGTTCAAATCGTCCTCTTCAAGCTGATGGTATGATGGAAAAGCATGAGATGAGTGAGGTTAACTCCCCTCTCCCTTCCTCCACGGATAAGGTGCCTGTCAGCAAGGAGGTTGGCCCTCCTCAGACACCGAATTTGATGGTCACTTGATCTTGGACTTCTCAGTCCCCAGAACTGTAAGCCACACTTTCTTGCTGTTTACAATCCACCTAGCTTACTGGTATTTTGTCATCAAAGTCCAAGCAGACCAAAACAGATGGTGATCCTCATGGTCATTTCCCCTTTACAAACCCTAAGAGGGCTTCTGCATCCAGAATCCCATCCTTAACCACCTTCTATCCCCAACATATCCACATCCCACTGTTCCAGCACCAACACCAGAGTGGAGTCACAATCTGTGTCACCAAGACCGAGAAGACGACAAAAATCCATGCAGTCCATTACATTATCTTTAGAAACATTAGTTTTGTGTCTCAGTGTGTTCAGTGTGAAGTTTTTGTTTTTTGTTTTTTGTAACTGGAAAAATGACTTAATCAATCCAGATTGGCATGAGAAAACAAGGAGGTGGAGCCAGGAGCTTTCCCTCTTGAGTTATTGCTTTTGGCATCTGACACTCATATAATTTTAGAGCTTTAAATAAAAGAAGATAAAAAGCAATCTGGTATGATTGTGCTTGCCTGCGATCCCAGGACATTTGGATGAGTAGGATGATAGGAATGCAGGGCCAGCCTGGGCTATATATATAAAAGACCCTGTCGCAAAAATCCAGGAGAAGAAAAAGGGGGGGAAGAGGAGAAGGAAACAAGGTTATTTATGTAAAACTGTGCGTTCAAAAATACTTAAACCACAAGCATCACAAAATCCCAAACAAGACAACAAAATTAACTTCTTTGTTGTTGTTGTTGTTGTTGTTGCTTAACTTCTCTGATAAGCCCTGAAATTTTTCCTTTTGGGCCAAGGGGAAATCATCTCTTTACATGATAAATATTCTATGATAAATCCTGCTGAGAGCATATAGAAATGACAAATTTGTTTTTAACTAGTGGTGTAGAAATATGTGATTCAAATTATATCGTGTGTGTGTGTGTGTGTGTGTGTGTGTGTGTGTGTAGAAGAGGACATTAGGTGTTGAGCTCTATTACACTGTACTTAATTCTCCTGAGACAGAGTCTCCAGTGAGTGACAGTCAGCAGGTCCCAGTGATACTCCTGTCTCTGCCCACCCCCCTCTGCCACGCTCGGTTTTTAATAGGTGTTAGGATTCTGAGCTCAGGTGCTCATGTTTGAGCAGCAAGCACACTTACCCACCGAGCCATGTTCCCTGCCCCTGTAACTGTTTTAGGGGACGGGTATTGGTGACTGAGCCCAGGTCCCCATGTACCCTAAGCACTCCCTATGTTCCTGAGCTAAGCCTTCCCATACACAGCTCTTCTACTGCTCCTCTCAATTTGAATATTCTTGACACATTACAAACAAATTTAAATATTTTAAAATATGTTCATATAGCTCACTCTTCTTGACTGATTAAATCATTCAATTACTGTGATGGCTATTCTTGGTTGTCAACTTGACTACATCAGGTATTTTGCTCGGTTTGAAGTGGATGAATCCACTTCTAGGCCGGATTTCTGAGGTAGGAGGACACATACCTTTGATCTGGATCTTGAGGTGGAAAGCCACACCTTCTGCTTGAAGCCTGTAGAAGGACACAGAAGAAGGAAGCTTTTGCTCTTTGCCTGCTTGCCCTCACCTTGCTAGCAAGTCCATTCCTTCACTGGCATTGGAACTTAGAGCCTACTTCTGTGGAATTCCGGCATATATTGAAGTCCAGCTGAGGAATCCTACCTTGTGGACTGAGAAACTACTAGATTCTTGGACTTTCCATTCACAGCCAGACATTGTTAGATTAGCTGGACTGTACCTGCAAGTCACTCCAGTAAATCCCCTGTATATATACACACAATACCTACATATATACATACATACATACAGAGAGAGAGAGAGAGATTCATTTTATAATTTCTGTCACTCTAGAGAACCCTAACACAGATTTTGGTACCAGGGACTGGGGTATTGAGGCCTGTTAGTGCTTTTGTTTGGAGGAATGTGGATTTTGGATTAGGAAGGCAGTTGAATGTTTTCAGTGGGGCTTTATGGGCCATACTAGTAGGAGCATGGAAGACAGTGGTGCTGAGGGCAATGGAGATTATGATGACATGACTCAAGAGGTTTCAGAGGGAAAGAATACTAGTATGTGGCCTAGAGACAGTTCTTGTGGTATTTTGATGAAGAATGTGGCTGCTTTCTGCCCTTGCCCAAAGAGTCTGCCTGAGGCTAACTTGGAGAGTTATAGATTAACAGTTTTGGCAGAGGAGATTCCCAGACAACCTAGTATTGACTGTGTTGCTTGCTTATTAGTGGCTGCTCTTTTCTATAATGAAAAGGAGCAAGCCAGTAAGTAGCACCACTCCATGGCCTCTGCATCAGCTCCTGCCTTATTGAGTTCCCGTCCTGACTTCCTTTGATGATGAACAGGGCTGTGGAAGGGTAAGCCAAATAAACCTTTACACCCCAAGTTGCTTTTAGTCATAGTGTTTCTTAGTAGCAGTAGGAACCCTAAGACAAGTACCCAAGAACCTATTGATTATGTCTACTAGCAATTTAATTCTCTCTCCTAATGATTTCCTGCTTTTGCAAGAATCTATTTTTTTTTGTTATAGTTTACTTCTGAGTGTTAGGATAATTTCTGTTGACTTTGTATACAACTCCATGAGAAATACTTTTTATTAAATGACATAAAAAGATAACAGTACACCAGTGCACTTTCACATGTATCCCCAAAGGGGCTAAAAAAAAAAACAAAAACCTTTGCTTTAATTATGTGTCAATAAAATTGAATCCTCAGGAGCTGGGGTAAAGCTCAGTGGTGGAGTATGTGCCTCGGAAGAGCAAGGTCTGGAGTTGAGCTTCAGGACCAGATAATGAAGAAAATAATAAATTAAATCCTTGGTTGTGGCTCATTGGAGAGACTCTCCCACAGCCTAACTGCTAGCTCTGCCCTTCTCCAACCTTGCTCCTTTTCTACCGAGGTCTTGAAATACTCTGATTGTTGTATAACCTGTAGACCTCCCTGTCTGTGCTATAACAGCAGGTGAGTTTCCAAAGTGAGCCGCTGGAATCTTTATCTAAGCCATGCCTATGAGCGGGAACAGAAACGTTTACACACACAGGGCCCGGGGGACAGCTCATTTGGTAAGGTGCTTGCCTTGCAAGTCTAAGAACTGGAATTCCACCCCCACAATTCATATTTAAAGGAAAACAAACAAACAAACAAACAAACAACAACAAATGGTCAACCAGGCATCCTGGTGTAATACCTCTGCTGGGGAGGCAGAGACAGGTGGATTCCTGAGGTTCACTGGCCAGTTAGCCTAGTCTACTTAGCAGTTCCAGACCAGTGAGAGACTTCATTAAAAAACAAACCAACAGACAAACAAAACCATGGTGGACAGTGAGTGAGGAACAAGTACAGCACCTGAGGTTGTCAGTCTTCTAACTACTACATGCATATACACACATCCACATGTACTAACTCACATGGCACACCAGAATACGCTTCTGTGCACAGACACACACACACACACACACACACACACACACACACACACACACACACACACACACAGAGTATTTGCTGGGCATAATGGTGCCCATTTCCACCTGCTTGCTGGCCCCTCAAAATGCCTGCCAGCACTCCGATGTCACCTGATACAAGAAGCTGGAATAGAAATGGATGCAGTCTGAACTACTGTCACCAAAATGGCCAACTTTGACAACCTTTGAAAAAATGTAGTGACTGTAACACTAATTCATCTCCTTTCAAATCGAAACTTCAGCGGCTGGTCAGTGTTATGCTCCGTCTCATGCAGGCAATCTTTTGTTGCCTTCGTTATTAATACGACTTGGAAGTTCTCAGTTATTGACAAGACACACTGTTTTACGTGCGAGCAGCAGAGAACTCAAACAAGCTTGTACTATCGTGGATGACAAATGGCTCACCAAACTGGAATCCAGCGGCACATCCAGCTTCCAATGGACGGACGCCCCCACCCCTGGCCCCGTGACCCTGCCCTTCTCTCCCCTCTACGCTCTTGAGGCTTCGTCCCCAGCTGGTAGCAGAGTAGCTTCTGGGGCAGCTGGCCTCACACCCAGAAGCAGCAGTTGTCCAGAAAGACTTCTCCCGGCAGTCTCTGAAGATTAGCTGTGTTGTGTGTTGCCCCTGAGGTGCTTAGGGTACCTGTACCCTCACTGGCCTGAACCAGCTGCTGGCAAGCAGCTAAGGGGACTAATGCAGCCCCTCCCCTGGAAGGTAGGAAGTAGGTTGGGGGCGGATTCCCTGGAGAAGCCTCGAACTTCCTGGGAGAGGGGGGAGTGACCACTCATCAGGGACCCCATGGGAAGAGGGGAAGGAGTCTTTTCAATTGCCTTGGTGGCATTTTCTTACTATCTGAACTTACTTTGTCAGTGTCCAGGACAGAAGTCCTCCTCCACACCAACTGATGACCATGAGAAAGAACCTGGCACTCTACCCCGTATCTTCATCTCAGACATCGGGACTTGGGGGCTGGGGAGATGGCTCAGTGGGTCAGAGCACTTGCCATGAAAGTCAGATGACTTGAGATCGAATCCCTAGCATCCACATAAAAGCCGGACATGGCCTCCCTTGCCTGTAATCCCAGCATTGTGAAGTGGAGGCCGGCAGATCTCAGGAGCTTGCTGGCCAGCCAGCCATTTGGTGCTGTCTCAAAAAAATAGAGAGAGAGAATACAGGAGGATACCTGTTGTCTTCCACTTACTCACACATGGGCATGCATGGACACCTGTACAAGTGTACACACACACACACACACACACACACACACACACACACACACACACACACACGGGGCAGGGTGAAGAAAACAAGGTTTGAATGTAGTACTTAAAGGAGTAGAACATACATTTAAGAAGTCTTAGCTGTCAACCTGTCCTCGAAGTCCTTTACGGAGTATGCTCCTTCTGCAGTCCCACCGGAAACCACGTGATGCAGTGAGGTTCCACCCCCCAACGCCCCACCCCCCAGATGTTGACCTTCGGGTTTGCAGTCCTGGGGAGGGACTCCAGGGTTTTAGCTCTATACTGAGCTAAAGCTCCAGGTCAGATTTGGTTTAACCAGAGTCTTGAGCCCCTTGGGGGTCTTGGCCAGCTCACCCTCTGCTTCCTGCTATGGGGCATTTTCTTTCTTGAGTTGGATCTTAGGTGTAGTTTACAGTTTAGAAAGGAGAAGAAGAAAGGGTAATGTCAGGCAATGAAGAAGGGTGGAATGGAAGAAGATATAAAACTCTTTTTTTTTTTCTTTTCTTCACAAAGGCTTTGTGAATCCAGATTTCTGGGTATTCAAGTAGCAAGAACCATTTCTGCATTCCAAAAGCACCAAACTGCTGCTGTTCCGTCGAGGCAGAAACTGTGAGACTTGAGCTTGCTTTTAATTCCATCAACCATTAGTGGCAACAAGAGTTAGATATGACTAGTCACCAAATGCTTCTGTCACATTGACTCACTTAGAAAAAGTAATTTAAAAATTTGGTTTTTTAACTGGGAGGAGAGGAGGGAGGGATAACTTTGATTGGGGTGTAAAAACAAAACAAATAAATAAAAACAAAAAAATTGTTTTGGGGGGAGGTGTTTATTACCTGAAAATTGCCCCTCCCCCTTTTTTCCTATTTAAAACTATAGCAAATCATTCTCTTATAATGTTATTTAATATGTAAACTGTATTGCTATACATAAAGTTGCTTTTTTAAAAAATTAAAAACAAAACAAAAAACCCTCATGTGGCTCTCAGGGGCTCAAGGAGGCTGTAAGTTTTCCTCCGCTTGATAGTCAGGTAGAAATGGAGTTTGGGCTAAGTAAAGGGCCTCCTTCTCCTTCCCTCCTTTCCTCCTTCTGGTCCTTCCTTTCCCTGCAGGATTATGAAAATCACTGTTCTGCAAACATTTTTTCCTGTCGTTGGTCCTGGGGATTTGAACCCAGGGCCTGGCGCTCGTGAGTGCTATGCAAACTGAGCGATCTCTCCAGCTCTGAATTTTTGATTTGTTTTTGTTTTGTTTTGTTTTTCAAGACAGGGTTTCTCTGTGTAATGGTCCTGGCCATCCTGGAACTCTCTTTGTAGACTAAGCTGGCCTCAAACTCCCTGAGATCCGCCTGCCTCTGCCTCCCGAGTGCTGGGATTAAAGTGCACCACCACTTGGCCAGCTCCTAAAATATTACTCACATGAAGACACAAAAGGAAGCGCAACCAGCCCAACAAGTTCCTTTGAGAGCTTTAAGTTAGGAGGAGGGAGGGAAGGAAAGTCAGCACACACACACACACACACACACACACACACACACACACACACACACACACCCCTGCCTCAGCCCCCAGGTAGTTTTGAATTAAAAACAAGAACAACAACAGCAACAAATACAAATTCATTCTAGAAGTTACTTTGTCTTTTCACCACCTACTGGCTCCAGACTGGACCTGCCTCCACTTTCCTCCCCAAGGAAAGTTCACATGTCTCACTCTTTTCAAACTGGTATAAGTGATAAGCTAGAGCTGTATTTACTCATCATTGGTCTTGTTAACATCCTTCGGATGTGCTAATAGTCCTT